GCTACAATCATCCAGGAGACTCAGAAGTGAAGCTGCTGTACCCTGGACTGGACACTCTTAGGTATGAACAGATTGGATTGTTTGGACGTAATTATATTTGCAATATGTGGCTGGACTATTTTTTTTTATAAAAATCTTTTGATTTTGATTGCGAAACACATGAAGATATACATTTTTTTCTTTGATAAGTGGCCATGGTATAAGTGAGATAATGCCCTACAAAGTGTCCATAAACAGGAAATAATGGCCTTTACGTCATCCATTAATTCCTGATAATGTACACCTAGCTGACAGCAACATGTACTACATGGTCATCTGGATTTAGAGAAAGATTACCAGACTTGAATTGAATTGAATTGTTTTAAGCCAATTGGAAATTAAAGTAACCCAAACTTGATATATAAAGTTTTGGTTTTAAGATGTTCTTTTCCAGAAATATAGACAATGAAAAACACTAATTGTCTAAAAATCTTATCGTTAACCTGAGATTCCGATACTTGATTGTTCAACTCATAAACTCAGTAAAGGCAACCATAGAAATGTGTTCTATATTGTAGATGACAGAAACAGTGTCGGTGTCACATGCAAGATTTTGATTTTGATTTGTTGATCAGTTGAATACTTGTATAGTATCAGTGTTTGTCTTCAGAGAGAAGCTGTGAAGGCTCTGTCCTCAGTTCTCAGCTCCAGTCCTCTAGTCGAGAGACTGGACTTTAGTAACAACCCTGAAGGATTCAGGAGTGAAGCTCCTGTCTGCTGGACTGAAAAATCCACACTGTAAACTGAAGTCTCTCAGGTCAGGATTAAAAGAAACGTAAAGGGTGAACCATAACTGTCACATTATGTTGTAATTTTTCTAAAGTAATTGTACCGCTTCTCTTTAGAAAACAGTGTGTACAAAATATAAGTGCAAGTCAAATCAAATACAGAGAGAAATGTTGTCACACACTGTATCTCCTGTACATATTGTTTAGGCTCAGTGGCTGTAATCTGTCAGAGAGAAGCTGTGAAGGCTCTGTCCTCAGTTCTCAGCTCCAGTCCTCTAGTCGAGAGACTGGACTTTAGTAACAACACCTGCAGATTCCAGGTGAATACTGTCGAGTCCACACTGTAAACTGGACACTCTCAGGTCAGGATTCAACTTTACCTTTTAACAGATGAACACTAAAATTGAGTTTGACACTCAAGTAACAGCGTAGAATAAATACACTAAGTACACGAAAGTAACATTTGTTGTATAATTTATAATTTATTTTAAGTGTTAAAATTATTAAAAAAATAATAGCAATCAACAAGAAACTCTTTACAGGGGACAATGTTATTTTTGATATTTAATGCTGCCAGAATGTTTTTAGACTCAATGATTCTTTTACTAATTGATAATTTCCTGGTGCAATGACACTTAAATCAATCGAGTCGTAAAAGTTTTTGATAAAACAGTCTGATTTAATCATTAAAACTATTGAGTTTTGAGAATAAAAAAATAATCAAATATGCTTGTTTCATGTACAAGGCTTTGCATGTGCTTGCCCCAATTGTTAACCACATTTGTCCTTCACGTTTAAAAAGGCAGGGTGAAGCTTTTGACTTGCGGTCATGGTAACCATGCACATAAGCTTTCTGACTGGCATGAGCCCCTTGACTTCATAGAAAATCATAGTAAACTATATTGATATTGCAATCTCTTATCAATAAATCAGGTCTCTACTCAATTAATGTGTTGCAAAATGGCTTCAATTAATGAAAAAAAAAAATGTTGTGTGGCCAAAAAAAAACCCCAGCTATTTTACCATCAGTGAGTGTAATTATATAAGGCAAAGTTTTAACTTACACACAGCTGGTGCAACAGGCTGCTGTGCTTAAGTTGTAAATACTGCCAGAATATAGATCTGGGAAGGTCAAAATCTAGGACTACATGGGGCATATCTTTCCCAATAGTTGGTGGAGACTCTCCCTCTTAAATAAGTGTTATAATTTCTGCAGTGTTGTAATAACCTCTGCCCACCTCTGACCTGTTACAGGGTATAAGTCAGTGTTGTAGATACAGGGATGAGGTCAATGCTGTAGATACATGGCATAGGTAAGTGCTATAGTTACAGGGCAAAAGCACCACCATGTGGTTATTGTGCTTTTGCTAATAAATCATGAACTGTTGGAAGTAGAAAAAATATTTTTATAGAGTAGATTCCTTGGATGATCCCAATTTTACTGATAAAGGCCTGATGAGGTGCCTTAAAAACGTTCCATAATTTAGTTTTTTTTGTTAAAGACCGTATTTGCTTCTTTTGGCACATATTTCACCTAATCAGACGCAAAATCAGTGAATAGCAAGCATAGATAAAGCCAGACAAGACTTATAGGTTTGTGTTAGGATCACTTATCATTTGTCTGTAACTGATTACTGAACTTTTGAAGGTGTGGCCTGATTCACTTAACGGGCCATGAACTCAATGCTGAATTGGATTGCAACCATATTTGGGACTGTTGTACGTAAAGCTACATTGCACGTGTGTGGACAAACCAAACACTGACTCTAGATTGGGCCACTTGCAAGTTTAAGGGCCACCATAGTATCTCCCTTGCAGTTTGAATGAAGTGCAATCTGAATCTACACTGTTAGATGACACTAAATCCTACATACTGGACCTCTAATTAAAATACTGCATTGGTTAAGGGTTATGGTGTCAATTGACTGTATAGTAGCAAAGAGATTCAAAGAAATGGTCTGATAGGAAAATATAACTAGCTTATTTTAATCAGTGAATTCACACCGACAAGGAAGGAATAGATGAAAATAAATGAATAATTATTCTGTGTGTGTGTGTATCTCCAGACTGTCAGGCTGTATGATCCAAGAAGAAGGCTGTACTTGTCTGGCTTCAGCTCTGAGATCCAACCCCTCCCATCTGAGACAGCTGGACCTGAGCTACAATCATCCAGGAGACTCAGGAGTGAGGCTGCTGTCTTCTGGATTGAAGGATCCAAACTGGAGACTGGACACACTCAGGTATGAACAGATTGGGTTTTTAGGATGTAATTATTTGTGCAATCAGAGGCTGGACTACATGTTCCATTTCAATGAAGTTTGAGCTTTAGGTTAGTTATGATGAACAACAATTTAGTGGAGGTGGTGAGCCACTTAAGTATTTTAATTGGATAGATAAATCAATAAATTAATCGAAGGTCAAAGACCCTAAACAACGTTGTGTGCTGTTGTGATTTAGGATATTAGGTCATAGACATAAAAGTGACTTGACTTTATACATTTTAATAAATAATAAAAAGGTTTCTGTTTACCACTGACGAGAGTTTTAAAATCTATACTGTAAATTATATTTGTATGTTTTTTTAAACTTCTAGTATTTTAATGTCTTTAATTTTTGGATGTTTCTATTTGTCTGACTTATTATTTCATTGTTGTTTTCTTCTGAATATTTGTTATAAAATTGAATTGAGTCTGTGTATGAAATTTGTTTTATAAATGCAGCTGTTAATGTTGGACCTGAGTCAAGGTTTATGGAGATCATTAATGAGGCAGCTTCTG